TAAATCGAAGATGAAATAGAAAGGTTAAATACCCTGCTAGGTTTGTCGTGATGAACCCTGCTCGTGGGTTCGTGACGAACCCAGGAGCTGGGTTCATCGCGACAAACCCACGCTCTTGGGTTCCTCGCTAATCCACGCTGGGTTCGTCAGTTTTATGCTCGTGGGTTCGTTCGCCTAAAGGTAAGAAAAAAAAGAAAAAAAAAAAAGAAAAAAAGGCTGAAGGAAGGAGAGGATGGGAAAAGAAAATGAGGGTAAATTAGTAATTAAAGATAAAAAATTTGGCCATGTCATTGCGTTTTGCAAGATGGATTTCACATGTCATTTAAGTAAAGAAAAAAATAAAATTTTTTGTTAATTAACCTGTCACATCAGTTAACATTTAACGGAAAGACTAAAAAGGAGCAGGATTTGTGAATAATAAGGACCAAAAAAGGGATTTTTTCGGTATAGGGACTAAAAAGGGGCTTTTTCTTATAGTAGAGGGACCAAAAAGGGTATTTAACCTAATATATATAAATTTAGGTCATCAATATGTAATTATGATTTACTAATCAATTAACTATAAAAATTATAATTAATTATAATTTTAAATCAATTAATCAATTTAATTAATTATATTGTACTTATCAATTAAATATTATAATTATAATTTACTACTCAATTAATTAATCAGTGTAATCATAATTTCTCATTCAATTAAAAAATATGATCATAATTTACTAATCAATCAATTAATCACTTTAATTAAATCTATCAATCAGTTAAATAATTTAATCATAACTTTCTCTAATCAATTAATTAATTAATTAATCATACTTTACTGATTACTAATCACAAACGTTTTTAATTCTTTCTAAACTAAAATTAAAAAAAAAATTATACAACATACCCGAAATGCAATGAGAAATGGGGAATCTTGCAAAATAGATTTTTCATGCTTGTTTCGGACAATGTGCCTAATTGAAACATGTAGGAAAAGTTGTTCTGCAAAAAGCAATGTATGTTTCGATCATGACCGAACTACTCCCAGCATGCTTGAACTGCCACCAGTTCCAGTCAAATCACTTACAGAACACTGTTTCAGTAAAAAATTTTGACCGAAATAGTAAAAAAAAAAAGTTGATCACCACTATTCAAGTTACTATGTAGCTTTTTATTTCGATCAAGAAATTTGATCGAAATTCATGCAAGATCAGAACCGTGACTTGCTTTATGTCACATCAGTTCAAAGTTTTCTTTTGATCATTTTTCTTGACCGAATTAATAATATTTTATATTATTCTTTAATATTTAATGTTGAAATAAGTGGAGATTTTTTTTCCATTTATATTCGGTCAGTGTAGTTGACTAAATAAATTCTTTTGGATGATTCGGTCAAGAAATTTGACCGATTTGTTTTTGATACCAAATTAATTCGGTCAAAGTTCTTGACCGAAATCATATCAAACCAAATTGTATAAGTGTTTCCATTTTTTTCGGACAAATCTTATATTCGGTCATTTTATTCGTCCGAATTAATCATTTTTTCGGTCAAGAGATTTACTTGACCGAAATGCTATGATCGAAATGGTCAACTTTCTAGTAGTGTTTATAGACTTATGTAATAACAACCCTTAAGTAGTGCTTATGGTAGTGTTGAGCTTTTGAGATCTCTCTAATTACATATTTTGGTACCTAGACCAATTATGGAAATCTTAACAAGTGCTTGGTGGGATTGGTGATGGTCATGTAATGCCTTATTTTCCTTGTTGTCATTTTTCTACACTTTACCAGTTATATTAATGAAATTTAATTTTCATCAGAAAAATAAGGTTATATTCAATTTGGTCCCTTAACTTTAAGTTTTTGTAAAATTTTTGTTTATCAACTTTTATGTATTTTTTTGGTCCCTTAATATGAAAAATGTACTTTTTTAGTCCTTCCACTAGTTAACTGTTAAGTTTGTTTAAAAATGCACATTTTTAGTTCTCCAACTTATATTATATACACATTTTTTATTCCTCAAGTTTAAGTCACTACAAGAAATGGGGTTTTTAGTGACAAATTTTTTATGAATTTTGAAATTGTCACTATAACTTATTGCAATTATGATAGATTTTAAAAATTAGTCACAGATGCATACATGTTCAATAGTGATGAAAAAATTCATCATTAAAACGATATTTCATCACTGAAAAACTATCATATAGAAAAAAAGCTTGTAACAATAAAAATTATCACTACAACTCATCCCAATTAAGACAGATTTCAAATATTGATAACATATACCCACACATTTAACAGTGACCAAAAATCCATCACTAAAAATATTTTGTCACTGAAAAACTATCATAAAGAGAATACATGCTTGTGATGATGAAAATCATCACTACAACTTATCATAGTTTTGATAAATTTCAAATTTTGATCCTAGATACCCACACGTTCAATGATGATGAAAAAATTTGTTATCAAAGAGATATTTTCTCACTAAAAAATGGTTATAGATAAAATATAGATATTTGTCAATAAGATTCATCACTAAAACTCATCACAAACTTATATTGTTACCCCCTTGGCAAATGCTATGTACTAATAATGATCAAGTCTTTTTGTCATCTTGCATGCTTGGACAGGGGACGTTAGCCACGGGTCCTTTGATAAATCTGGACGTAAGTTTGTTTTTAGCCACATAAACGAGTGATATTTGATTAACTCCAAAATGCAATCAATTTCCCATGAAAATGTACTGATTTTTCCATTTCTACAAATTTCAGATGGTTACAAACCATACCATCGTCCAAGCTTTCATTAGTCTCCTTTCTAAGAATAATCCTGTGGGCTGTTGCAAATGTTTCCATCCTTTGTCTTACTGAACCATGTAAATATAACATGAGGACCACACCAACCAATCTTTTAAGCAAGTAAAGAGGAGATGATTTGTGCTTTCCAAAATAAAACTGTAGAGAGGACAAGATCATCCTTCATATTTCTCAATCCCTTTTTAGCGAGATTATCTTTAGTGGGAATTTTGTTTTGTGTAGCTTTCCATGCAAAGCCAAAGGCCTTTAATGGTACCACTTTAGTTTTGGGCTATATTATAACAACATAAAGGCTAATTTCATCATGTATCTGCCCTTAGAGTCCATATTCCACACCCAGCAGTCTGCATGGTCTTGTCTACGTTGTCTCTTTTGTAACATACCCATGAGTTCTACAAAAGATCACATCCCCAAGCAAAAAGATTTCTCCTCCAATTCCATCTCTAAATCGATTCTCTGTTATTCCCTTCCCCTTTCTCCAAAACTACAGCTTCTTTATCAGTAGAAAGTGAAGCAAATGTTAAACCTATCCTTAAGAGACAACTCCCCCACCTATCTATCATACTAAAATAGTGTCTCATTACCCTCCCCGACAACCTTCACCAAACTTTCCCTATACCACCCCTATCACTCAGTACCATTTGAATCTAACAACCATAACTCCTTCCACCAACTAGAGTAGTGTATACCCCAATTGCCTCCCATCATGTTCACCTCATATTTTGCCTCAACAACCCTCCTTTATAAGGCATCCTTCTCTTTTAATAACCTCCATCTCCATTTGCCTAGAAGAGCCTTATAAAAAGTTTCTAAATTTTTTATCGTCAACCTTCTCATTTCCTCACTTTCACATACCTTATCCCATCCTACCCAAGCAATCCTACTTTTATCCTCACTACCTCCCTATAAAAATCTTCTCTAGATAATAGATAAGAGATTGGTTACCTTTTGGGCACTTTAAGTGTTGAGAAGAAGTAAACCGAGATACTCGAAAGGATAGCATTTAGGAGAACAATATGCCCTCCAAAGGATAATGATTCACACTACCAAGAAGACAATTTTCTCCTTAAACACAATAACAAGAGACCAAGTATCA